CGCGGGCCGGGGGAAGGGTTCCTGCGGGCGGCGCTGACCCCCGCTCCTCCTCAGACAGCCCAGCATGGAGCCGGTGACCCTGCTGGCCTTCGTCCTGGCGGTGAGCCTGCCCCTGGGTGAGTCCGCCGGGCCTGGGCGGCCGTTGGAGGGGGGCGGACCCCGACGGGCCGCAGGCCTGGGCCGCAGTGCGGATGTCTGCAGTCCTGGCAGTTCCAGGCAGGGGGACCGGACGGGGACGGCACTGGTGGGAGGGGGCAGTGGCTGGAGCGAGACCTTGCAGCAGGGGTCTGCCTCAGTCTACCTCTTCTTCATTTCAGGCCAGTCAGTGCTGTGCCACGTTTGTGAGTTAGAGAACGACTTCGGGTGCCTGAACCAACGCAACTGTACGGTTGGGGAGAGCAACTGCATTATTGTCGCCATGAGTAAGAGTCGGGGGGGGGTGTCACACGGCTGCATCCACACCGCCCTGGGCAGCGTCCAGCTTGGACGCACAGTGACCACATCCAGGCACGAGGAGCCCTCTGATGCCTCCTCAGTCCAGGAAAAGGAACACATCTGAGGGTCAGACTTCCAAGCCAGCCCAGGCAGAAAAATTAGTGCAGCAAAAGGCTGCAAATGGAGGTGTGGTGCATGTGGTGGAGAGCATCTAGCACCAGCCGAGAGCAACACACTAAGGGAGAGTACCAGGCCCTCAGAGAGGCCACCTTCAGGAGGAGTCTTGAGGGCTGGGCAGGGCCTCACCCATGTGGTTCCATCCCAGCTGCTCGTAAGTGGATCACGAGGATCAGAGTTCAAAGTCAGCCTGGGCAAAACAGCTAGCAAGATCCCCATCTCAACACACAAGCCCGCTAGAGGGGTTCTCCCTGTCACCCCACCTTAGGGTGGGGATCTCCATCTCATGCTGCCTCTGGAAAAAACAGTCTACCTGAAAAGTAGCCACTGATTCCAGTGGTAGAGCACCTATTAACAAGCACGGGTCCTGGTGTGTGTGTGTGTGTGTGTGTGTGTGTGTGTGTGTGTATGTGTGTGTGTGTTGTAGAGCAAAGGACCGAGAGTCCAGGAATGGAACAGTGAGGAAAGCTCTGGCATTGGGTGGCACAGACAGTTGGTCAAGATGAAATATTTGGGCGTCAGAAGAAACTATTTTCATTGATTATTAAGTGGAATAAGTATGGGGGGCTGGGGCTTGAACTTAGGTCTGGGTGCTGTCCCACATTAGTGTTCTACCACTTGAGCCACTGTTCTCAGCCTCCAGAGTAGCTAAAATTACAGGCGTGAGCCATCTAGGTGCCCATCTGCAGTGAACATCTTGAAGCCCTAATGTTTTCAAACGTCTTGCTGGGAGCAGTGTCTAGAGAGCTTTGACTGGAGATTTGTGAGGCTTGGGTCCAGGCTGAGTGTATGCTTTCAAGAACTTGTAGATCAACTGCTCTGTCCTCTCTAGTTCACCCCACAGCTCTGGGTACATGAGGCGTACCCTAAAAGGGCCACAGATGACCTCCACCATTCTGTCCAGCATGGGCCTTTTCAGTCCACCTGTCATCCCCCCCTCCAGGGCCTCTGTGCCCAGGAAGTGTGTGGGGTGTGGAAGTGGGGGACAGGTGCAGCTCAGCCCTGAACCTTGGTACTTCATAAGAAAACTAACTTAGACAAGGGGCAGGACCGGACCCAGTCCCCACCCAGAGCTAAGCCAGGTCTCTTTTTTTTTTTGGGTCGGGGTCGTGGGGCCTGAACTCTGGCCTGGGCGCTGTCCCTCAGCTCTTCAGCTCAAGGCTAGTGCTCTACCACTTGAGCCACAGCGCCACTTCCGGCTTTTATTCTTTTTCCTTATGTGGTGCTGAGGAATCGAACCCAGGGCCTTAGGCATGCAAGGCAAGCGCTCTACCACTGAGCCACCTTCCCAGCCCCTAAGCCAGGTCTCTTGAGGGACCAGCACCAAGAAATTGAGGCACAAGGCACTTTTGTTCCCATCCCTGAGGTGGTGATCATCCAGGACCAGAGCGCCAGGGGGTCACCCTGGGCACAAGGCACCCCTCCACACCTCCCGACCCTGGGGACAGCTGGGCATGAAGAGCCTGCCCCTCCCACACCTGGGTGGTGGCTCTGCTTCCCACCTGTTCTCCCATTCCTCCCCGACACCCAACAGGACCCTAGAGTGTAGGCTTGGCTACAGATGGAAAGGCACCGGGTGGGGGGGTGGAGGGGGGTCTGGGTTTTAGACTTCCACGATGTTTTTCTGTTCTTGCTCTCCTATTAGAGATTTTCCCGCGTTTCTACATCGTTTCCAAGCAGTGTGTCTCTGCTTGTCCCACGATGGAGGTTGCCCTCATCATGACAACACCTACGCCAACCTGGTCGCTTTACAGAGCTGGGGCCAAGGTCTACACATTACAGGAACCTACGCCCTTCATCTTTATACGGTGCTGCAACGAAGACCTTTGCAACGAGGAGGGTCCCAGCCCCAGCATGGTTTCCACCTACCGAGAGCAGACCGGGAGGGCCAGCGAGGAGAGACATCACCCCCTCCTGCCACCCACCCTCTGGGTGCTCACTGTGGCCACTGCCCATGCCCACTGGGTTTGATGGGAACCACAGAAGGGCCGGTGCTGGGCCTGGCCCACGAACTCCCTGACAACTGTTGGAACCTGCTGATTAAATTTGTTTTTCATTGATACCTCCAGGTCTGACTCTCCGGGGTCTGGGGGACAGGGAGGGGCTGAGTCTAGTGGCTGTCAGTCCCAGAACTTCTCAGCTTGATCTGAGCAAGCCCTGTGCCTGGCACCACCTCTGAGATTGGGCCTGGCAACACTTCATTGGGAACCCCCTCCCCGGGTTGATGGGGAGGAAGCACTTCGCCACCCATGAAGGTGTGCTGGGTACTCCTGACCTTCTGGGACCTGGAGTCAGGGAGGGCTGAGCAGCGAGCATGTCTCAGCTGCAGTAACAGAATGCCTTAGGCTGGACAGATACAAATATGAGTGCTCACAGACCCGGGGTGTGAGAAGTCTGAGATGAGGGAACCGCCATGTCCGCGCCTGGTGAGGAGTCTGAGATCAGAGAATCACCAAGTCAGCGCCTGGTGAGGGCCAGGCCCAGGAGCGGCCCTCCTGCAGGCCAGCATGCAGCCGAGGCCCAGGGGCCCGGCTGCTCCCTCCAGCTTCCTTAACACAGCTGACACCTCCCAAAGATAAATGGAAAGCAACTGAATTCTGCGGCTGTGCCCCATTCATGTGTCAAAGCATTCATTAAAGTCTGAACTTGTTACTCATACTTACCAGCTCTCAAGCTGGCTGTCCGTCCTTCAGTCCACCTGCTGCTGGGGCAGCTCTGTAGCAGGGTTCTTGCCAGCTACTGACACTTTGAACTTGGGTGTCCAGCTCCAGAACTATGAGAAATAAATGTCTGTTGTGCAGGCCAACTGATCTATGGCAAGTCATCACGGGAGCCCAAAACCGTGAGGAAGAGTGCTCTGCTCTTGGAGACCCTGGAGCTCCCCTGGCTCTGCTAACGTGGAAGAATCCGCTGAAGAGCTCATAGCTGAATGGGCTATTGGGACGTGGAGCCAAGTTGGAGGAAGAAGGTTCCGGGGCTTGACTGTGCCGGCCAGAGCTGTCCCCAGAGCCCCCGCCACACTTCTCTCTGCGTCCTAGCTGCCGTGAGGTGAGCAGCCTCTTCCCCGACCCAATAAGTGACTGCACAGCTCAGCCGCACCAGCCCTGCTCAGCCGCACCAGAGCCCATGCTGGCCCTGGGCCAGAGGTCTGAAACTGAGCTAGAACGAACCTTGACTCCTTCAGTCGCTTGTCAAGGTGACCAAAAAAAAAAAAAAGCCTAACTTGTGAGACACCAGAGGGCCAATGACCGAGCCAGGGGGCAGCGGCTGGGGGTCTGTCCCCACCCTGCCCTGTGATGTCACACGCAGACATCACTCTGAAAGCCGGCTTCAGTGTTGCCAGCAGGGGGTGTCAAAGGCAGCTGGATACTGGGTCAGGGCCTGTCCCTCAGGACAGGGCAGGCTCTGCGCTCCCGTGCTGGCTGGTGGACTCCTGTTCACCCTCCCTGGTCCACCTGGTCCAGCATCCCTGGCTAGAAGGCCTTCTGGTGTAGCCTACGGCTCGGCCTCACTGCAGAGCTGTCCTGTCCCAAGTGCCCCCAAGGCTACTGGGAGCTGGGAAGGAGGAAGCTGGGCCATCCCTGTGCACCCAGGGGCTGCTTCACTTCTGCAAAAGACCAGGTGTGCCTCCTGCAGAACGCAGGTGCTTCTGGCTCAGGCTGGCCAGACTGGATGGAGCTGGTAGAGCTGGCTAGCCCAGGGACCAGAGTGATCTGTGTGTCCTCCCCTTCTGCTGTCCCCCCTCCCCCCGCAGGGGCCAGCCAGGCTCAGGAGGGGGCAGCTGAGACACGTCTGAGAAGGCAGCTGCCAGTGCAACCACTTGGGCATTTGGTGAACTGGAACTGGGATGGCTACTCCAGGGAAGCTGCCATCCGCCCTACCTCTGTCCAGCTGGGCAGAGACAGGCAGGACAGGGGTGCGGGGGCGGGGGAGCATGCTCCGCATGAGAACAAAGGTCGGGAAGGAAAACAAATTGCCCCAGGTCAGACATCCAGAGACCCTAGGAGCTCAAGGCACCTTGGGCTTGATACCTACAGCGTCCTCTAGTTAACCCCCAGCTAGGGGTAATGCTCCGTGTCCTTAGACAAGCTGTGTTCGTTTCTTCCAAGCTCTGTTTTGGGATCTAAGACAATTTTCAATCTCTGTGGTCTAGGCCTGGGTTAGTGTGTGATCAGAGTCAGAGCTGAGTGCGCCCAGGCTCTAGGTTCAAGCTCTGTCTGCAGGCCAGGGTATCCATTATGGAATAATAAGTGGCAGGCAGGAATTGTGGCCTTAGCAGCATCTTATCTCCCCAGACAGCCCATTTCCGTGTCTCCTCCTCACCGCTGGAGAGATGGGGGACTGATGGCAGACCAGACCACCCCCATGCCTCGCTGGTAGCTGGGCCTGTACGGAGATCCACCTTGAATCTTCATCCTCTGTGAGAGGGGCCATGGTTGTATCCAAACCTTCCATTTTAGAATAGCTTCAGATTTACAGCGACGTTGGTGCGGAGCCAGGGTTGTCACATTCCCTTCACCCAGATTCCCCTCGCCCCAGCCCCAGCCACGCGGGCCACTTACTGTGACCCACAAGCCAATGCTGACATGTGACTTTTAACTGAAGTTCACATTTAGCTCTCATTGCCTTCTCTTTCTCCAAGTGTCCCGCCCTTCTCTGAGATCCGACCTAAGACCCGTGTGACCTTCACTCACTGTGTCTCCCAAAGCCTCCTCTGGGCGGTGACCGGTGTCTAATGTCCTCCGTGCTCCCTCTCCCTACTTTGTCCTCCCTGGAGTGACAGCACTAAGAACAGCTGCAGCTGAATTCCACGCCGAGCTCTCCTCCTGGAGGACACGGCGCTCCCGTGGAATTCTGTGTTCAGAAGATGCGTGTCTCCTCCATCTTTCTTCAGGTCTCTGTGGCTCACAGGCCTTTGTTTGGTGTGCGGAGTCAGAGTGCAGTGAGTGCTCCATTTGGCCCAGCCGTGGCCACCGGAGAGCTGGCAGTGCCACGTGTACAGTGCTTTGTCAAACTGTATCTTTTTAAAAATCATTGAATGGTTTTTTGGTGTTTTTTTTCCTTTTTATTTTGGCATAGAGGACCAAAACCCAGGGACACAGGCATGTAAATGCTGTATCACTGAGTGGGATCCCAAGGCTGTGTCTCATAGTGTCGTCCACATAGTCTTGAACTTGGCCCGGAACTGCCTCTACCTCCTGAGTGCTGAGATTACAGGTGTGTGCCACCACACCCAGCTTTTATCCTTTCCTAATTGCTGGTCCACAACCTGGCTGATGCACGATAAACATGGAGGAGCCCACGCAGGGGAGGGAAGAGAAGGCTGAGGTGCTGACCCACGCTGCCAGGTGGCAGAAACAAAGGTCTGGCAACCCGTGACTCCATCCGCATGGAATGTCCAGCGCCGGCCGACAGAGAGCGGCTTGTGGGTTTCCAGGGCTGGAGGGAGGAGAAGCCGGAAGTGACTGCTAGGCACACCTCCTGAGGATTCTCCCCCCTCCCTCTGGTGACCCAGCGCAGGCCCTGGACTCTAAGGCTACTGTGCTGACTCCAGCCCTGGGTCCTCTGTGGAGCCCATGATGTGAGCCCTGGCCCCGCAGTCTGCAGCGGTCCTGTCCACGCCTGCTTACTGCCCCAGGCCCAGACTCAGTTTCCCTGAGAGGAACCAGGTTGTGCTGAGCCTGGGGGTCTTTCGCTAGCAGGCACACCCTGCTGGGTGCCCACTTTCTCCCCACTGGCTCACTGCCCACCACGGAGAGAGCCCCGCGGATACAAGAACGCTGGGAGGTCTCAGGGCACTGGGGCCCAGCAGGGGGCAGGTGGTGGGGTCGTGGGCCCAAGCTCTGATTTATAGGGTGTAGCTGGCCCTTGGTATCTATGGATCCAACTAATTTCTTTCTTTTCTGGTCATAGAGCTTGAACTTAGGACCTAGGCACTGTCCTTGAGGACTTTTTTTTTTTTTTAATGCCAGGTTAGCACTCTGTCACTTGCCATGAGATAAGAATCTCATGAGCTTTCCTGCCCAGGCGGGCTTTGAACCAGGATCCTCAGACCTCTGCTTCAGTCAGGATTACAGGTGTGAAGCCCTGGCACCTGGCAGAGCCAACTAATATTGGACCAAAAATATCTGACCACACACAAGTTCTGTACTTGTCATTTATCCCTACAAGACACGGTGCTGATATACATTTTTCCACAGCCTCTACACTGTATCAGGAATTATAATAACTAGATGATTTAAGGCCCAGGGTGGTGTGGAAGGAAGTTGAGCCTCCAAGGACAGGATTCGGACTCCTGGACACGCACATGGGAAGCCTCTTCCTCCCCCAACTCCAGCCCAGGTGGAAGGGTGGGCAGAAGGCAGGGCCTCAGGTGGTGGAGGGCAGGGGCAGGCCTTGGCCTCCGGCTCCCTGGGGGTCTTGGGGTGGTAAGGGTCCTTCTTGGCACTGGGTGTGAGCTGTCTGGGCTGGGCATCTAGATGGCTGATCCCTGTAGCTGCACCTCTTCCATACCCGATCCTTCCTTCGTGCCTGCCCTGTGCATTCCTGGGGCTGCAGCCGGTCCCCTGCGGGCACGCTGCAGGGGCTGGGGAAGCTGCATTGTAATGATGGTCTTGCCGAGAGAGCCTGGGCTGGAACTGGCACACCACAGCGTGTACAGAGTGAGCTCCTAGAGCCTCCCTAGCTTAACGAGGGGTGGGCACAGCCAGGTACAGCCATCAACAGCCTGCCCCACCCCCACGCTGCGGCCTCTTGGGGTTCTGGACCTGGGAGCCGCAGATCTCTGCCCCAAAAATGGCCTTTGAGATTGAGTGGGTTCAGATATCCTACTTCCAAGGCCTGGAGGAAAAAACAAGATCCCCCTCCCTGATCCCTGATTGTGAACCCTTATCACCTCCAGGGAATCCAGCCAGGGTGGAGGCCTGCCACTCCAGCCAGCCCCGGCTTGCCCGCTCTGCTATGTGGGCGTGTGTCCTCGGCTTGCAAGATTAGGTTCATACTCCCACAGGTAACTGCTGGCACCTTCTCCGGCCTCCTGGCAGGGCTGCTGGCACCAGACTGCGTTGCCTCTGTGGACATAAGTCCCAGCATGTGCCCACATCACCCCTTCCAGTCCCTGCTCCCCACAGTACAGGTCAGAGTCCCCAGCCTGGCACTGACACGTTCGCTGTCCCGGGCAGCGCCAGGCAGGCCTCTGCCCTCCCCAGGGCCTCTCCCTCACCCGTGTTCCATTTGCCCTCTCACACAGCGCCCGGGGCTGGAGACCTGGCACAGGAGGGAGGGAGGGGGAGAACCAGGAGGGGTTTGTTCAAATCAAGCCACACAGGCAGCAACAGCAGGTGACCTGTGACCCCTCAGTCCCGGGCAGGTTGTGTGTGACCCCTCACTCCGGGGCAGAAATATTTTCTGTCCTGAGGCAGCTGCTTGGGGCCCGCTGGTAGGAGATGCCAACCAGGCTCTGCCTGGGCCTCCCTCCTCTCCCTGGGGGGCTGTGTCCAGGCCCGTGCGCTGCCCTTGCCAGCCTTGACCGTCTTGGTCCACTCAACCCACCAGCTTCCAGCCCCATGCCAGCCTCGCACGGGCACCCAGGCCAA